ATTAGAAACCGCTCTCATTGCAAGTTTGACTCGTGCGCGATATGACTGATTCCGGAGAGGGCAGGATCCGAGTGGGGCCGTAGTGAGGGCCGGGGCTCGGGAACACCGCGCCTAGCCCCGGCGGGCAATACGGCAAGGGTTCAAGAAATGAACACTGTATGTATTGTAGCAGTCCCAGTCTTGAGGCAGCGGCTGTCTGTGGCAGAGAATTTTGAGAACGGCACATTATCCCAGGCTTTGTTCATCTGAACTTAGCAAGTTATGCTTACTTTCAACTACCCTCGCATCTTTCACTCTGAGCCTGCGACAGGGCTCTCATCGCGTGTTTGCTCATCTCATCGACGTCTCACTCAACTCATTTCTTTTTTTCCCCATTCCAATGCAAACGTATTGAAATTGCCTTTCGAACATTGCAATTGTGAATAGGTTAAGATATCCTGGCACGCTAAGCACTGGGCGTGGAAGTATTCAGATGTTGTATTCAGTCATGTACAAAGCGGAACACCTCGAGATGTGTGATCAAAGTAGTTGACTCGACGTGAACGACCCGAATAGGTTAATGATGCACATGCAAAACGATACTGCCCTTGTCATTATGAGTAATCTGCAGGCCAAGTGGAACGTTGATGTTACTGCTTACTATTCAATGCCAGCTCACGCAAACTGTCCTTCCAGACGCACTAAGGTGTGGCGGGCGGAACGCCGGGGTTCACAGGTGCGGGGCAACCGAATCCGCCCGTCTCACTTGCCCCCGGACACGGCAGCCCGAGCCCAGCGCAACTTCCCCCGGTCAACTGTCTTCTTTCCCAACAACGTGGCCTGCTACCGTGTCCTTCGGGTGTCATTTGCGACCTCTCTTGTTGACCCTCACATTCTGTGCTTTTGTCTTCTTTCTATCTCGAGCACTACGATAAATACCAGCTGGCCCATCACTGTAGGTGCCTGGCTCGGATCGCTCAGCGGAATATCAACTGCTTCCTTCTCAACCCAACACTACAGACATCATGGCCGCTGCTCTAGACGCCGTCCTCGCCAAGTACACCGCCTCTGGCCAAGACACGAATGACAAGCTGCTGGGCGCCTCATTCATCGTCATTAACAAAGATGGTATGGTCAGACTTCTTCCGGTTGTGTTCCTCAGACCTCCCCATCTGATGACAGCCACAGAAACCCTATATAGCAACGCAGCAGGTCGCCTTGATTTTCCCACCGAGGCGCGCCCTTGGGAACTCAACACGTTCACCTACGTAGCATCACTCACCAAGGCCATCACTTCCACCGCCGTCATGCAGCTAGTCGAGCAGGGCAAGCTCCGGCTCGACGACGACATGCGCAAGATTGTACCTGAGCTAGGAGACATGCAGATCCTCCGCGGCTTCGACGAAGACGAGAAGCCTATCCTAGAGGACAACACCACGCCTATCACAGTCAGGTACCAGGATCATTGGAAAATGCCACATGACTGCTCTGGGTGACATACTGACGTAAACCACCCAGAATGCTCCTAACCCACACCGTGGGCCTGGGCTACGACTTGATGCCCGACCTCCGAAAATGGTCCGAATCCATCGGCCGCACCGTGACAAATCTCTCAGGTACGCTCGAAGGCTTCAAAACACCCCTCTTCTTCGTCCCAGGAGAAGGGTGGTACTACGGCACGGCTACCGACTGGGCAGGCCAGGCCCTGGAGCGCGTCACAGGCACAACCCTGAGCGCCTACCTCGCCCAGAACATCTTTGGCCCGCTCGGAATGAAAGACACGGGCTTCTGGCCGGAAAAGATGCCCCACGTCGCCGAACGGACCGCCGCATTCCAGATCCGCGGCAGCGACGGATCGTCTCTTAGTCCGGAGTCTAGTCCGCGCAACGTCAGTCCCAACGCAATTGACAGCGGCGGCGCAGGTCTATGGACTACAGCGCAAGACTACAGCATCTTCCTCTCTGCTTTGCTAAATAACACGCTTGTGAAGAAGGAAACGGCAGACGAGATGTTCCGGCCGCAGCTTGACGAGCGACAGGCGAGACAATTCGAGAAGCTCACGGCTGAGTGGGGTGGTTCGCTGGCGGTGGAGTTTGAGCTGGATATGGAGCTGAATCACGGGCTGGTCGGGTGTATCAACATGCGTGACGTGCCTGGGAAGCGCAAGAAGGGGAGTCTGCAGTGGAGTGGCATGTGTAACAGTCACTGGTGGCTGGATCGGGAGACGGGCGTTGCTGGGGTGCTTCTTGTTCAGTCGCAGCCTCATGCTGATCCGGTTGTGACGAGGCTGTATGATGATTTGGAGCGGGCTGTCTACGGCGAGCTTCTCAAGAGATCGTAGGCTTGTGATGCCAGGTCTATGCACTATGCCAGAAGTACCTGCGATTCGTATTATGAGGCAGCCTCGTCGGGCATCTCCATAGACTCGAGTACACTCTCCAAAACCTTCCTGCACTGCCTTCTATAGCGATACGCCATAATCTGATTCCTCGTCGCCTCGGCCTCCTCCATCTCGAACTCGGACTGGTCCAGCCGTTCGAGCTCCTGCAGCACTTTGTGCTGTATGATGCCGATCGTCTGGAACAGCAAGGGCTGCGTGGCCGCGGGGACCCGTCCAGTCAAGATCATCCTCAACCTCTCCAGATCTGCCTTGCTCCCATCGTCGTCATTACTACCCTCCGGCACTGGAATCATCTCGCTCCGCTGCTCAGCTGTCGTCTGCGCGAGAACCAGCTCCCACACCATGACATCCTGCACATGCCGAAACGGAGGCAAAATCGCGTCCCCATCGACATCGCTAAGCAGTTGTCCAGATCGCGCGGCCACAGAGCTCGGATCAGACACGGGCCTCAGAGAAATCAAATAATCCTTGGGCTTGTTGATCCCGGATGCTGCTGCCCCGGCGCCATCACCGCCTTTCTCCGCCGCAGCCTCGGCGCCACCACCGCGCTTCTGGACGTGGACGTAGTCGTTGTGCAAGACCTCCGATTCGGGGATGGTGAAGCCGTACGCCAGCATGAGTTCGGCGTTGGTCTTGGTGGTGCCGTAGTTATTGAAAACTTGCGCACCAGGGGCGTACGTATCCAGCGTGCGCAGGCCGACCGTAGCCTCCTCATCCCTCACAGCGTCATCGGACGTCTCCCACGCGATCCTGGCAGTCGGGCTATGGTTCCCTACGTCAAACAGGGGCATCAGCAGAGAAAAGTCATCGATGGCGCAGCCCTCCGGCAGCGAGAGGGTGTGCTGCCTGTGGGCGGGGATGATGAGGGACGGGCGGAAGCTCCGACTGGTGAAGATGCAGTAGGCCCAGTTGTAGAGGAGGCGGGTGTAGTCGTGCCTGGCCGGGTGGTCGCCGAAGGCGGCGAGGGCGTGTTTGTGTTCGGCCTTGAGGCGGGATTTGATCTCGGCGATGGCGACGTGGGCGTTTGTGTCTTCGAGGAGCTCGATGTCGTCTGCGGGCCAGAGGGGCGGTAGGGCCCAGGCGGCGAGGTTCGTTGGCTGGGGGAGGGTCTTGATGTAGGGGTGCCAGAAGGAGGATGGGCCTTGAAGGTATTCCTTGATGAGGAAGAAGCGGCTGATGACGTGCGGTGGGACGGATTCGAGGAACGAGGAAGGGAATGCTTGGGAGGAAGAGTCGTGATGGAAGCCTGGGTTGGGTGTGGTGGTGGCGTTGAGGTAGGAGAGGGTCAGGACCAGGGGACAGGTGACGACGGTGTCGCCCGGGTTGACGCCGGCGCCGTCGGGGGAGACGCGGAAGGAGTTTCCGGTGTTGGAGTCGTTGTAGACCTCGACTGACGGGTGGAGGGCGGCTCCGTGGGACTTTGCCCAGCCGACTAGCTCATCCATCGTGGCTGGCTGGGCTGGCTTGGTGTGCACGTGGAGGGGGTGAGTGGAGGTGTGAGTGAGTGAACAAGTTCTTGTATGAGGATGAGCGTGTGAGTGAGTGTGAGTGTGATTGTGTGGATGAGAGTGAAGATGTGAACGAATGAGTTTGTAAGAGTGAACGTGATAGTGACAGGGTGAGCTAAAATAGCCTCTTCACGTTTTTGGCGCCGGCAATGCGAGTAATTCGATGTCCGGGCCTAAGCTCAAGGCACAGATCTTGGAACTCTGGACCCTTCTTGAGTTAGCTCGTTCTTCAGCAGATTAGATTGACTGGTTCTCAATCATCGGGCAGGCAAATGGTGTGCTGGTGTGTGTGGTTCACGTTCAGACTTTTTTTTTGGGCGTTTTCTTCAGCTTCGGCGTAAGGGTCCCCGGTGTGTGCGGGGTTCAAAAGTGAAAAGCTCGGTGAAGGTGGGGGTGTGTGAGGTCAGGTAAAGTGTTCCTCACCGAGAACTTGGAAACTAGTCATAGTGGCGTCAATAGAGAGGGAAAATCGGTGGGGATCGACGATCAGCCGTTTCCCATCGAATGATGTGGCTTTCTCTGACATGGGACCAGCGATGAAGAGACGCAGGTCCGTACGGCCATCCCTGCGTATCGTTCGTCTGATGGCTGCGCTGGACAAATCTTCGTGTACGACACCTTGACATTGGTGAGATGGGTCATGTCGTTGATGACTCTACGTAGTCCGGCAGTGTGGTCAGCCTTGGGTGTTGCATTTCCACTCCAGAGACTCATCTAGATTCATACCCCATGAGCTTTCCGATCATCGGAGCAAGCAAGGCTGATGTCGTACTGGTAGAACAGGCGACAAAAGTGCTCGCCAAGTAGTGTAGCTGAGGTCTAAGAGAACCGGGGCCTCGCAGCTTTCATACGCAAATTGTAGAGGCTTCTGGTTGAGGATCATTTGCCTAGTGTTACGCCCGTCATCGTTCCTTAGTACTTAATGACAATCGCACAAAAGGTAACTAAGATTCAAAACAAGGCTTATGCTATCCCCAATCTCTCTGATGTCTTCCCTTCATCGTTCCAGAACCATGCCCGTCATAACTCGGGATATCATACACAGCCTCAATACCCCTTCCAGAAGCTATGGGAGTCTCTCACTCATCCCACGACCCATAGCCACACTATCATCACCCATCAAGCGGCTTCTGCGCAGCAAGAGTATGAAAATGCACATACGAATGCACACTCCGATCCAACAAATCCCTCCTCACCTCAATCAGAAAAACCTCCACCTCCTCAGGCGTCCACCCCAGACCCCTCGTAAACGGCCCAATCGTGATAGCATGCAACCCATCATAGATCGCCGCGCGGCAGTACTCCCCAATCTTCTTCAAGTCGTCGTCCTTCGCCCAGGGCCCCACGGGCACCTTCTTCACCTCGTGCGCCAGGTTGACGAAGCCCGCGGCCGCGACGTGCGCGGGGTATAGTTCGGCCGCGTTCATCTTGACATCGAGCTTGGCGAGTGCTTCTTTGATGTTGGCGACCATTTTTACGGGGGCAAAGGTTGGGGGCATGGTGTTGTCGTCGCAGCCGTAGACCCAGCGCATTTCTTGGAGTTCGATCCATCCGCCTGGTTTTGTGACGCTGGTGGGTGTTAGTCCATGTGAGAGAGTGTGTGCTTATTCCGTGTTTGGTATGTCCGGCAGACCGGGGCATCGTCACGGGCCACCCGCTGGAGACGGCTAGGGCTTACCGGTATGCTTCGGCGAACAGCTCCGGCCACTTTTTGATGGAGGGGGCCATGTTGCGGAGGTGGACAAAGTCAAAGTGGTTGTCCGGGTAGACCCATTCCACCTCGGCGTCGTCGACCATGAACCGGACGTTGGGCGGCACGAACTCGGGCTGGATCGGGCTCAGGTCCACGCCGATGATTTCGGCCTCGGGGTACTCATCGCCCACTATTCATATGCATTAGTCCGTCATCATTCTGCTACACGAGATCACCTCCACCCACGGAATAGATGTGACGAGAGTGAGCGGTACGTACTATCAATAGCCCATATCCCCGTCCCCGTCCCAACATCGATAATCCGCTGCGGATTTTTCAGCGGCGCGCTGTGCAGCTGCCCGCCGCAGAGGTGGACGACCATGGTATGCTTCATGTCCTCGCGCTCCTGCTCGTCATCGTCATTGGGGAAGTGGTACTGGCCCTCCTTATAGCGGTGGTACCGCCGCCGGTTCTCGAAGCTGTAGTCGCGCACGTGGGAGGCCAGCGACGTCGACGCCCGCGAGGAGCCGGACTCGGTTCCGCTTGCGTAGCCGTCGTCTGGGCCTGGCGAGGTCGGGTCGGGGGTTAGTTCTGGGGCTGGGGTGAGGTGATCGTCGGCTGGGATTGGGGTACCAGGGGCTGCTGGTGCTGGTGCTGGTGCTGATGTTGTGGTGGAGCTGTGAGCATCGTGAGGTTGCGATGCAGTGGGGGGCGCGGTGGGTGCGGCGGGTGCGGCGGGTGCAGTACCTGTTGTTGAGGATGTTGCTGGCGGTTGCGCTGGTGTTGATATCGCAGGGGAGGGATCAGAGGCGTCTTTGGGTGCCGCTGATGCGGCTGGGCTGTCTGCCATTGTCTTGCGGTAGAACTTTGGAGTTCTTCAACCACAAAGCGCGAAAGGAAGACGGTGAGTTGAGATGGCGTGAGATGCGTCGATGGAAGGGAGCTCGGGAGGAGCTTTTGAGAAACTGTGGAATGGACGCATGGGTAATCCCCGAGGCGGGGGGAACTAGACCGAGGAGAACCGCGGATACCTTTACTACGGTATGGATAGCTTATAAGTAAGCATATGGTCTTGTTAATGGGCCTCGATCCGGAATAGACGGGAGACTGCGGTTGCAAACTTGGACGCCCTTGGAGACCATGGACGGGGTCTTTGAGGTCTCGAGGGGGCAGACTACTGGCGCCATCGCCCACTACTTTTTCTTTACAATCGAATCATAAATGCCGAAACCAGACAACCATGTCGCCGCCATTAACAGCCGAGGAAAGCCCAGGGGCACTAACCCCCACCAGTTTTCACCGTGAATGATGAAGCTAGCCCAGAGGCGATGCGACGTAAGGTCGTTGAGTGTAGAGTAAGGTAGAACATAAATCTAAATGCTCCCTGCATCAGTCCATTTAACTTTCCCTGCATGAGTTGTCTCCTTCTCGTATCCGTACCTGTACGGAGCCGCACAGCAGCACAATGGAAGCCTTCAAACTCACCCTCTCGGACGGCAAGACCGCCTCCGGGCTCCACAGCCTCCCGTCCCCCACGGCCTCCAACCCGCTCCGCCCGGCTCACCCTCCCCTCATCGTCGGCCTCCACGGCGGCACCTACTCGGGTGCCTACTTCGACGTCGACGACACCTACACCGCCCGCCACACCAGCGCAGCGACTGGCGTGCCCTTCATCGCCCTCAACCGCCAGGGGTACAACGATACCTCCCCCGTCGGCGAGGACATTCCCTCGTCCTCCTCCTTCTACGAGGAATGGGGCACCTCGCTCCACCGCGACATCCTCCCGGTCCTCTGGGATAAATTCGCCGTGCCGAACGGATGCACCTCCATCGCGCTGCACTGCCACTCCCTCGGTGCGCCAGGCGCGTGCGTCGCAGCGGCGCTCTGGTCCGAAGAGACATCCCCCGCCTACCCACTCGCCGCCCTCACCATCTCAGGCTTCGGCAACGCAGTCAAAAACTGCCGCACAGGGGACTTCACGCCGGCAGATGATCCCCCTCCGTCACACGTGCACTTCCCGCACGCAGCAAAGGACGCGCTCATGTTCCCGCCGGGTACGGCGGACCCGGCGATGCTGACGCACACGGCGCGCCTGGACCGCCCGATGCCGTACCGCGAGATGGCGGATTTGCGCGGGAAGTGGCTGGCGAACTGGGAGGACAAGTTTGCGGGGCGGATCACGGTGCCGGTGTTGATTGGGCTTGCGGGACGGGACGGACTGTGGTTGTCGAGGGAGGAGGATGTGAGAGAGTATGTTGCGGCGTTTAGGAAGAGTCGGAGGGTGGAAGGGAGTGTGATTCCTGGGGCGCCGCATATCGAGATGAGTTATTGGTCTCAGGGGTGGTATGCGCGAGTGTTTGGGTTTGCGATGGAGGGGGCGGCGTCTTTGGCGATTGGTGATGGTGGTGGAGAGGGTGATGACTTTGGGAAGCATTGAAGTCTGCATGCTAGGAGAGTGCTTCAAAAGAGGATGGCATGGAGCTCTGGTGTTTTGTAGACTGCTAGGTATTGTGGTTCACTCTATTTGGTGTGACATGAATGAGACGAATGGGATGAAGAACGTTCAAGGTAATTTTGAGAAATTCACAATATACACGGTACGAAAAGGATATCACACATGCCTTGTTGATACGGTATCCTCGAATTCAAGTGTCGGCTTGGCCGTTTCGATGTGCGAAGACAATGATGCACGCATCCCGATGGTACAACTGATGATCCTTTGGTCATGCCGAAGCTTAAGATGATCTCTTCACTATTCTCGTAGAACCTATAAGCCGTCTTGAAGATAAGACACTTATCTATGTTTTCACTGACTTACAGTTCAGATATTGAATTGCAACTGGCCATGGCTAACTCGGATACCCAAAGTTCCCGATGTACACATAACCGGATGCTTTCATAGACAGTCGACAAGGCCGTTGGGAATCTACACTCTCTCAAGTCTTTCGGGTTTGGTCCAGAGAGTGCGTTGAATGTCCTCCATTTGAAGCATCGAAAAGCCGGTCGATCGAAAAGATCTCGTTGTATGATTGGCGCTATCAAGAAATATTGCTTGATCCCAGATGTTTCGGCCAATGAAGCCAAAATAGAGGCATACCGGTATTTCCATCATTAATCGGTAGTGGGCTTTGCTTGCTCATGTTGCAGCATGGAAACGCCTGCAAACCATCTCCTCTATACCTACCAGCTTTTCTGGCGAAAGTGAATTGAATTTGACAGGCGCAAATACAGTAAAGATGATCAAAGATCAATATCATGACTTAGAGAGGGTGGCAGGCGATTAGGAGCTGGCGCTGACGTATCCCATCGCAAAGACCCAACTCAAGCTCGTGACAAAGACGCCCGAATCTTGGCTTTTGATGCATAGATGGGGGCCGAGCCGTCGCGCTGTCAATCCCGCACCACTTGAGTGCCCTGGCATGGATGTTCGAGAACATCGACGCAAAGAGCAGGGCACGGAGCGAATTGATGGACGACATGATCTGAGGAAAATCGGAACCTCGGCTTGCTTTAGCCCAGATGATTCGTCACCTAGGTGCGCATCAATCGTATGATCCTGAGAACAGTGAGCCCTGAAGTCTGCACCATAAACCATGCGAAATTTGGTCCGGTACATCGCGGTGATGACGCTGCTGTGGATCTAGCAGCATAAGACCTGTCTGAAAATATCTCTCTCGCCGTGATTTTGAGCAGAATAAACGTCACGCAAGGGCAGTCAGAAAGATCGGAAAAGTCAAGAGATCCTCTCAACTTCCCTAATAAGCGCATACGACAGCGAACCGCGGGGTCGACGGGATGGAGAAACGTTGCGAAAGTTGCCCGGGGCAGGGATAACACGCAGGCGGTGGAACCCAGGTGTCCCATGTCTGGGGTACTTGAAGAACCATCTTCAAGGTGTCGTGCCATGCTTTCCAAAGGCCAGGGAGTCCTCAAATTCCCGAACGCCATGAGAGAATCTGTCGGCGATGATAGATCAACTTGATCAATGATTTGCAAGGCTTTTGATGCGGTTCTCTGATGTCGTCGACACGAATTCAAGGAGGAACTCCAGCGAGACCTCTCAACGACCTGCATGACCCCCGCAACCACCGTGACCCTTGTACCCGTTATACCTGGGAGCCAAAACTAGCCGCTTTCAAACTTGACGGGGCGCCGAGAATAGCGTCGTGGGCCGTGGTCTGTTTGGCATGGGCAAGCTAACGATTGGGGTACAGGTCGGGGTCGAGTTGAGCTGGCCCTCGCATCATTCTCCACCTCGGTGTGCTGGAATAAGGTGTCTATTATTGCAACGTTTGACATGGTCAATGGAAGAGATGGCGCTTGAAAATAGTACTATAATTCATCGACTTGATGGCCAAAGTCGCAGAACTTAGTAGGGTAGCTAGCCGGAAGGGCGTGTCATGTCGACAACAGCCAAGGAAGTCTTTGTCATTCTTCATGACGCTGTTCTTTCAAGAGGGGCAATTCCGGTATCGGACGGTGGCAGGTATCGGTGATGTTCATCTGCTTCTCGTCAATCTCGGATTGGCAGAAGGAAGAGGGTGTGCTTGGTCGGAAAGGCTGCTGGCAGCCGCATGTCGGCTTCATGTAAGATGAAAAATCTGTACGAGGCGCGTGGTCATTTCTACCTTTCAACTGTCTGTTCTTCCAGCTCAATGTTGGTGGGTGGTATAGCCCAGTAGGAATGAGTTCCTAGATTCCTCGTAACTCGATGACGGCGCCCCCCCCCCCCCCCACGGCTGATAAAGTCGAACTTCAGTGGTTTGGAGATGGCTATATGCTCACCGACTATTTATGTCCGTGGGTGAGGCAGCGCTTGGATGGCAGCGATGATTTTGAGGGTGTATGAGATGAGATGCGGTGTGGTGGTGCTGCTTGTGGGAGGTGTGTCCCGCCGTGGTGGCTCGTGTTGCCATGGTGGTGTACTATTGGCGTGCCATGGGTTTGTTGCTTCACGCGGCGTTTGTTGTTCTCGCTGCTGTTATTTTTGCATATGAAAGAGAAGATTGTAGGAGGAACATACACCTTTGGTGTTTGGAGTAAGGTACTCACTCAAGTGTTCATCGAGATCAGATCAGGTGGTGGAGGTTGGCGGTGTTGACATTGCACTTGAGGAAGCATCTCCGTGAACCTGAAAGTTAAGGTAACAGCAAGTGGGGTGGTGGCACAGTGGCGTAAGGTATCGGACAGTACGTATTTGCATCAGCCAACCTAAGACGGGGAGGAGGTATTACCAAGTCGCTCAGGCACTTCAACTCTCACCAGCTTGGTGAGATATTGAAAGGTACAGATGCAGTGTCGAAGTACGCGGAGGAATTAACCATGAGGGCTCGATAGTTCAAATACAAGAGCAAGGCTACGGTTTGAACGTTGAACAAGCCTACGCCTCGGACTTCTGGTAACATGCTCATGTGCCTTGCCTTACCTACCTTACTGTACCTAATGTTAGGTACCTTAGGTAATGCTAGGTGCTGCAGTACTCGGAGGTGAGAGAAGTGGTGTAACTGTGGCTTTCAACGTGGAGTACCAAACGGCACTTCAAGAGGAAAATACGGTAAACGGACGAGGCACCAAGTAAGCCACTTTGAATAGAGGTTGACAAGAAGGCAGGGACGTAAAGTCTAGCTGGTAAGCCCCGTCATGCCAAATTCCCTTTACAACAGGAAGGTATCTTGAGGTAGACGACAGGGTGGGTGTTTCCCCCCACAGCCAGGGCATCTTACCCATGTCAACGTGCTTTCTCCCACGCGGGGTGTCGCCCCTGTCTTGAGCTGCCATGCGTCATCTGCGAGCTGAGATTTTGAGATGGTGTCCTTCGGTGTCTCCCCATACCTGCTTGAGGAAGAAACT